TGAAGTTCTTATTATTATTGTATTATTGTCTGTTTCTCTCTTCACATCAGTTATTGTGTGCTTAACATAGGTAGGCCCTGTGATGTTGGGTGCATATGTATTTATATGATGTATTTTTTTTGATGAATTGACCCCTTTATAATATAATGACCTTTGGTCTCTCGGTACTATTTTTGGTGTCATCTATTTTGACTGATGGAAGAATAGCTACCTCCACTTTCTTTTGTAAACAAAAGAACATTTTGTTGTTGTGAACATTCATGTAAAAAATTATCTTCTGAAATAGTGAGGGTTTCATTCTTTATTACAAATCTATCCATTAAATTTAGACAATGTCCAAATCAGTAGCAGTGAAAAAGTTTCTTCATTGGAAAACCCCAACTCAAGATCTTTCAATGGGGGGAAAAATGTCTTCTGGTCATATTTTCTTTTCTTTTTTTTTTTTTTTAAGATTTTATTTATTTATTATTTATTATTTATTCTCAGAGAGAGATCACAAGTAGGCAGACAGGCAGGTGGGGAGGGGCGTGGGGCGGGAAGCAGGCTTCCTGCTGAGCAGAGAACCCTATGCAGGGCTCAATCCCAGGACCCTGAGACCATGACCTGAGCCGAAGGCAGAGGCTTTAACCCACTGAGTCACCCAGGTGCCCCATTCTGGTCATATTTTCTAAGAAACTATGAAATCTGCTTTGTTTTCTTGCATTGAGAAGATATTTTATATGTTCATACTATATTAGATCTTATTACCATCTAATATATTATGTATTACTTGTTTGTTTTAATCTAACTTCAAACCTCTCCACCTTCCACCCTCTGCACAATGTAAATTCCAGGAGGACATGGATTTGAGGGGCAATTTTGTGTCCTGCTATACCTCTGGCGTTTAGAACTGTGAATGCTACACAGTGGGCAATCCTTAAGATCTGTTGAAGGCATGAATGAATGGTGCTTAAATGTTACGCAGCTTTATGTTTTCCTGCATAGCATTTTAAAAGGTTCTACATTTAGCTTCTTTTGAACATCTCAGTGTTACTGGTTTTCCTGGGGTAGAGCATTCTAGTACAAAATGTCTGTGTTATATAGACCTTATAAATGGTTGGAAACAAGGTACGAAGAAGGATTATGTTGTATTGGGAAAGGAAAGAAGATAGAGATGGATTAGAGAAATTATATACGTGGAATTCTGTCCCCCTCTAATTTGACTATAGTGTCCCCAAAGTGATAACATGCAGAACATCAGAGACCCTTGTACAATGATAACCCCGACTTACGAAGGAATAACAAAAAATCATTTGACCCTAACAGTGAAGGTTAAATGATCTATCATCAAAAACACAGAAACAAACTAAATCATCGCTTTCTTAAATGAGAACACGCCACCGTTTCTGTTCCATGCAACTATTTATTGATTTGTGCTAGTCAGTCGAGATACTGCTTTAGCAGTCTCAGGCTCTGTCTCTGAGATACAAATTAGAGGTTTTAAAATAGCAGGAACTTTGCAACATTACTGTAAGTAGGGAACCGGGTCCTTTTTCTCTTGTTAAGCAAGGAAACTTGACTCTGAGAGGTAAGGTGATGTCCGGAAGTATTTTTTAGCCTCTGTCTTTGTTGGCGTCCTTTTCCTCGTCTTGGATTTAGGTAAGGATATAATGTCAGTTCTAGTTAGAAAAAGGAGATCACAATGCCAGGTGTCAAATCCACATATCAATCCTCTCCTTAATTGCTGAAGTTTGACACGTCCCTGTGTTTGTCCCAGAAAACTCAAAACGTTCTTTTATTAGCAGTAGGGAATTAAATTTCCTATGTAGACAAATTAACTTCTAAATTATAAGAGAAACAAATAAAAACACCACGAGAAGGTGGGGAGGGCGATTTCTGCTTCAACTTAAAGCTTTCTCAAAGTAATTTCTTTTTCCCTTCTCTATATTTTCCACAGCTTGCTTGCTTGCTTGCTTTTCCTCTTTTTCTTGCATTGGAACTCACTATCTAGTTATTACCTTCTCTGAAGAGTAAATTTTTAGTCAGAAACACTTAAAAAAAAATCTTAGAATCCTAATTAAAGTGAAAGAGGTCAACCAGACTGTTGAAATGAAAAGTGTTTTCAAGCCATATAGCTATTATGTTTGGGCAATTCTTGAAACAGGGAGGGTAGAAACTCATCAGAAAGAGTTTCAAAGTCTATTTTAAATATAAAATGTGAATTGGTTTAGAGTAAGAAAGACTAATAGAATAAGGAAAGAAAAGAATATATTTTCTGGATTAACCAAATTCATGGCCTTGTGCACTAAATTTTATACTCTAAAACCTGACAGGGCCTTATTCTTGTGATCGCAAACCCTAGTTTTTCAAACCCCCCACCTCCACCCCCAGGCTTGTCTCAGGTTGTCTTAGAAGTGACAAAATAATCTCCAAGTAAGCTTAATTTTGATTCAAAAATACAGCCACATACCCATCTCTCTCTTTCTCTCTCTCTCTTTTTTTTTTTTTTGATGGAAAAGGGGATGAGGCAGAGAAGACCAAATTGTGAAGAAAGGTAAAGATTATTATAGCCCTCTAGGTCTTCAGCTGACAAGTGAAAACACCTTGTATGTAATGCAAAGGAAAAACTGTCCATTTGACCTCATTTTCATTCACACTGCTCCCAATGCCCAGAAAGACCAGATGTCTGGTTTCTAGAGTATTGGGCTTTTTCCTAGTAAAATTTATTTTTTGAAGTTTGGAGAAAAATGGCAGCTCCTTCTGACCTCAATATTTTATAGTTTAATAATTTCATATACTAAAAGTGTTCCAGCATAAAATGAGCTTTGAATATTTACACATTTGCAATAATCCAAGGAAGGCTGTTTAAAGAAAATCTTGAAATGAACTTTATTTTGAAAATCTTGTTATTGGTCTTTTTTTTTTTTTTTAATTTTATTTTTTATAAACATATAATATATTTTTATCCCCAGGGGTACAGGTCTGTGAATCGCCAGGTTTACACACTTCACAGCACTCATCATAGCACATACCCTCCCGAAAATCTTGTTATTATTAAAAAAAAAACCACCCAAAACAAATTCATAGTTTTCATGACTAGGAGGTACAATGTAGCATATGGTAAAGGTACTGAATTGGTGGGGTGGAGTGGGGGACAGGGAGGTAGTATGAGTAGATGACCTTTCTTTTTCCTTGTCTGATTTCTACTAAGAGCCATACAAAATATACATGAGCTATGGTATTTCTTCCCTCCTTACAGAAAACAATAGTTGGAAATTCCTATGTAAAGCTAATTTGCCTCAAAGAATATAAAGCCCTTTAATGGGGTATCTAGGTCCCTATGGAAAATTTTTTTTTAAACATACACCATGTGGTGCAATCTGTTACAGTCTACAAAGAGGGAAGGGGGGGAAGCTCTGTGGGGGCCAGGAATAAAGTCACATGTGGGAGTTTTTGAGGTATTCACTAGTAATAGGGAAACAGTACAGCTAAAACCTAGAAGTAACATCGCTTCTGCCATAAGTCGTAACCCAGGGTATATTAAATGTACGCTCTTTTTAGAAACTATTTAGCAAGTTAGTCAATTTAGGGGAGGAAAAAAACCCACCTTATCTGAGATGGTTAAATTGCTATTCATTTTGTATTTTAATCTAATCTACTGGTGATTTAATTTATAGAACTCAAAGGAAGTGTGCACTCAAATATTTGAGGATGTTAACGTATCAACCACTGTTTAATTTTGGAATGTGCCTACTTGCTTGACACAATATTTTACCATCTCAACAAATGTTTAGCCTTTTTTTCACTTGACTAAAGAGAAATAAGTTTCACATCGCTTCATTCACCTTCTTATGTGCATATGCTGGGAAAGATTGGATGTTAAAAAAAAAAAAATTCCTCATGTTCCTTTCTACTACATCTAAATCTGTTTACCAATTCAAAGCTGCTAAAAAGCCCTGTATTCTCCTGCTAAATCAACTGGATGGCTAGAAACCAAACTGTGATGTAACAGGAAAAAAAAATTATCAATTTATTTTCATGTCAGAAGATTCTTGAGAAGGTATAAATTGTTCTGGTCTCTATGCCAGTTTTCTTTTTTCTTCCTTTCTCTCTCTCTCTCTTTTTTTAAGGCTTTCAGCTTTTAAGCCGATACTTTCTATAGTTTTATAACAGTTCTAATATTTTGTGACATTTTGTATTGTGACACTATAGATGAAATTGTCATCGGACTGACACTCTGTGCTGTTTATTCCTTAATTACAACTGTTAACACTGTAGAGAAGTGTGCTAATCTGCCAGCGCATATTATGAAAACAACATTATTGTTACCCACACCAACACCCACTCAACAGGATATTTCCAAGATGGTAGTTTAACGGAACTGATCAGCACAATGGACGTTTCAATATAGGTTTTGTTTGTTTGTTTTTTAAAGCTTGTCCTACTGTCTTCACCAGTTTGAAATTTTTATACTCTTGAATTGTAATGAGCATAATGAGCATAGACTCCCCTTACTAGCAGGAGCTGCATCTATAGTCAGAAAAATTAAAAAAAAATTTTGAGCACTCCAGCAGTGGAGGACTGGGGAGCCGCAAAGCTTTCTGACAGTTGTTTAGGAAATAAAGAAAACAAAGGAGAGGGAAGGGCAAGTTTAAAGATGAAAAGATGAGAGGAGTTACTTGCATTCACAGGGTTGGTAGTCCTTAAATAACTAAGTCAAAATCCAATAACCATTTCCAGCTCTAATAGGTCACCTTTTTCAGAACCAAGTCTGAGCTCCACTGAAACTGGCTACTTCTCAAATGCTTTGTAGTTTAGTTCTTTCCTCCGGAACCTTCAGAAGTTTGATTATCTATAAGGGACAAAATCCTATAAACCCATTGTCTGACATACTATATTAAAGCAGTTCAGTGCCTCTATTTTTTCCATTTGTTAAAGGAAACTGTAATGGCCAACAGCCACTTGGATCCTGTGCCGAACCTAATCCCCATAATAAAAGAGCCAAAGTGATTCTAGAAAATGTAAAACCAGAACAACAAGTATTCATTGTTTAGATGAGAATGATTATAAATGATTTTTTTTTTTAAAGAAGGACACATGTAACACTTATTTAGCAACTTACTTAATAAACAGTCCAACTTTCGGTATTAGCTCTTAACACTTCCATGGGTTTGGCAGAAAGCAAATTCATGACCCTGAAGTAAGAGTAGGTCTCAAAGTGATAGAACCTGAGATTTGTCAGCTGATTCTCTTATTTTCATGTCATCGAGGAGGTAATGGGACAATATGAACATATTCAATTCCTAAGGCACCCGAAATGACCTGCGTATTCTTTAATACTCAGCTGTACTAAACAGGTTTTTTTTTTTTTTGAAAAGAGTATGTGAAGAAGTTATCACTGTGCCTCATTCTGAACGGTATTTTCTGCTTCATTTTCATTTTCAACACCGATAGGATATGGTGCTCTTCCTAAAAGAAACTGTTCCCATTTGGGAATATATTCTTCTACTGATGCCCAGTAAAGAGTCTGGAAAAAAAAACAACATCCAAAAGTAAAAAAGCATATCAAGCAATTGAACTTGGCTCTTCATAATAGTCTAAATGTTTATTCACTGAAGTGTGTGTGTGCGTGTACACACACACACATACACACATATACGTAGAATGCACTTCCTCTAGAGAATATTTTATGTTAATTTTAGAAAGAAATCTGGCTACTTACTAGTGTTAATTTTCAAATTTCTCAGTAAAACCGGAGCCTGGCAGAATTACAGGTTTGGGGATTTTATTGTGATTTTACACGCCCTCTTGTGGCCAACCGTGTGATTATTACCAGTGGTATCATTTATGGCTACAATCATTAAATGTTTTTGTTTACTCTTCCGAATCCCATACCAAATGATTACCCATACTAAAAATATTACAATGAAATGATTAGACATGAACAACTTTTTTATAACTAATATAAAAAGATTTCACCTAGGGTGAGATCAGGAACTGAAACATAACTAGTGTGTTATAGTACAGGACTCAGGTACATTGACTCCTTAATTGTATGGGGAAAAACACTTAAAATATTCATCCACTGTATCTTTTAGAAGAATACTCGATATGGTAAACTTAATTTGTTCCCAGTTTCTTCCTTCCTTCCTTTCTTTTTCTTTTTGTATACTGAGAAAAATAATACCAATATCATGTAACCATTTTTAATTCCAGTAACTTGGAAGTTGAGACACTGTATTATTGGCCTGAGTATAGCAAGTCTGTAAGCTATGAAGGCTCAGGCAAGATCACCATATAATATCTCCAAGCTTTGATGGTTCTTGGGTGACTGCCCTGAGGGGGCCAAAGAAAAGTATACTGCCAAAAGCTCTGTATCATGGGAGGGCATTTTGGATGGGATCATCACTATCAATCTTATTTTGGGGAATTAAGCCAAAGAATTACTTAGCATTAAGAACACATAGTGGTTCACTCTGCACATTAACAAGGTATAGGAGTTCTGAAAGTTGAAATTATGAGCAGTTTTGCATATCCACCCCTCTGTGCATGTGGTCTGAGAAGTAGCCAGACACACTTAAAATGGAGGTCATCCTGTTGTGCAAGACTAGCTAAGGAAAATACCAACCAGGGCCTGTGGTCGGGAGTTTCTCCACCATTCACGGCTGGATTAACCCCTATTGTGTGGGCCCCATATAGGCCAGAGTAAGGTATTGGAGAATTCAACAAAGGAAAAGACATGCCCAAGGCACAACTTTGTACCACAGCTCTTTCTGTCCTTGATCACTGCCTTTTCTTATTACTCTAGATGACACAGAAAATTGAAGGGCAAATTCTCAGCCTTTAATTTTGAGTCTATTCACATCCCTGCTTAGGCAGCAAGCAAAACTGTATTTGAAAAAGGTCATTAGGAATATAAAATTAAACTATTCTATATGTAGTAAATTTCCTTTCATCACAGATATATTCATATACCAAATAGGGTTTATTTTTGCCAACAGTCTTCCCAATCTGTTCTTGAACTGAGCAAAATAAAACAGACAAAAGCCACACTATACTGCATGATAATATGCATTTAAATAGCTTTGGTTGAAATTTGGTGAAAGGACTGAACTGCTAACATTAGCCAACAGGAAAAGCACTTTGGTTAGGCATGCTGTCATCTTAGGATTTAGTGCATGCTGTCTACTGTCTGTTACGGTTTAACAGGATAGGTGTTTCTAGATGAAAAGATATAGGATCTTTATAAAATTGTCACTTGATAAATCTTTAAAAATCAAAATACTTACCCGTTCCTTACTGTGTGCAAAGCACAGCACTGTGGACATCTAAGGAGCAATCAGACACATCTTATTTTACCGAATAAATAAATCTGGGAAATACACACATCTAACCACAGTTAATTTATAATGCACTACTAACAGAATGGGGTCTCTTTCTATATTTTAGTTCTTTAAGATTCTCACCTCAAGAGAAACCACCTCTGGTGATGGAATTGGGTGAATCCGGGTCTGCAGAGACTTTTCTGTGGCTTCTATATCCTATAATAGGTGTCAGTGTTTTAGAAACAAAATGTATTTATGTAACACATACAAGTGGCACCTGTAATAGCAATGTCTGTACCCCAAATGTCAACTCTTCTCTGGATAAACCGTCTGAACTGAAGGAAGGGCATTGCAGTAGGAGGACTGATCATTACTTAATCAACCAGTTTCAAATAGAAAAAGTGTTTCTTGTTTTAAAATAAGAAGTGTGGGGGGTGGGACTTTCAAGGTCTTCCTTTTCATTTAAAATAATAAATGCCAGTAATTCCGGCAAATAGGACTTTCTTCCAAAACTGCTCAGGACACTAACATAGCTCTAAAACCATTAAAAACAGCCAGATGGATAAAATGGTCCAATATTCAGGTACCAAAAACAGTCAGAGAATCAGCCCCACACTGAGCTAACCTTAAAAGTGAAGAGTTCTAGTCCAGATCATGCAAATGGTGTATTAAGGTCACACATTTCATCTGTTCAGTATTCTGTTTTTTTTAATTTTATACTTATGCAAATCCTCCACGTATTCGAAAGAAAGTCAATGAGGTACCTCAGTACTTTGCAACAAGAGTCTTTTCAGAAGACTCTGGGTTCTTAGGACTCGATTTCTGGGGCATTCTCATTGGTTGGCTTTATGGCTGTGTTGTACATCATTTAGCTGATGACATTTAAGCCCTGTGCTTTAATCTGTCGTGTGACGCGTGGGTGTGTGCGTTTTCTCTTGCGGTTGCAGAAGTGCAGGGGCAATTACATTTAACGCAGACCCGAGTGAAGATGTAACCTTGATATGTGGATGAAGTACAGGCCCAGAAATGTAGGACTCTCCCTCGTTGTCAGTGAAACACTGAGCTCTGTTTCATGCTTCCCAAATTGGCACCTGTGTTGTCTTGTGCTTGCTTGTGTTTGTCAAGTTCACAGAGGCCTTGGCTGTAGGCCGTGTCAATTTTGTCTCTCTTGTGAGCTCAGTGAGTTGATCGAAAAGAGAAAGTTCTCTGATCCATGTACAAGCATTGGAGCAATCTAAGTACAGGGCTGTTGGACAGACGGAGAGAGATGGAAAAGGACGTGGGAGTGGGGTGTGAAGAATCCAATGCTGAACAGGAGAAAAGAGCGAGCAGATGGCAGTGGCGGGAGCAAGGAATGGGTGTGAAATGTAAAAGGGAAAAACAGGAAATTCCCTAAAGGGACTCCCCAAAGTTGCACAACCATTAATGCACCTGCTGTCTCGAAGAAGGTGATTTGAAGGGGAAAACCATCAATTTAGGGATAAAAAGCCCATCTTATTAGCCACGTCTATTCCCTACCAGAAGTTTAGGGCCAAGACGCACACTAAAGTGCTTCTGACGCCGATGTTACAACAGACACCGAAGATTAACTCTTCTGTGATTGCACGGAGATTTTTACAACATCCTGGGAAAATTATTTTTTACTTTCATAAATCAAACAAACAATAGACTCACAACTCCACTGACCCCATTATAAGAACAGTTGTAAATTTATGGTTGGTGGTAGACCTAGGTGCCCCTAGCACCTGTAGACAAGATGATAAACACTTCTCTTAAAGACCAGGAAATAAGGATATTGGCTCTCTCTCCTAGAAGAGTAGATCTGCAGTGGAAGAGTAGATATGAGCAGGGATCTGTGACCTGGTAAAACAGGCCTATGGTTAGTAACTTGACTGTCATCTCTGCAGCCTGTCGACAAGGGATTATCACCCCTCCAGAGAACTTCTTTCGTAAGTGAGATTTTACTTTCTTAGATGTTTTGCTTACCTCTCTGACTCCTACTTCTCTTTCTCCTAAGTTGGCGCCTTTTTCTCTTCTTAATCCTAAGTGTGGGCTTTCTAAGATTTGTGACATCTGTCCTCCTCTTTTTACTTTTTCTCTCCAAGACTGTCTCTTATCTAGCTTCAACTATTAATATAGAGGGATGGATAACTTTTCTTCCCAGCCCTTATTTCTCAACCTGATGAAACCAAACTCCCCTTATTCCTACTTAGTGTACTGAATGTACAGTAGTGGGAGTTCTACTCCTGCAGACACCTATGCTGTATCTTCTACCTTCGACTGTTCTTATTCCCTGACATTTAAAAATTCAAAGGTCCATAGATGACTCCTGTAGGATGTCTCCCTTAGCCTGTCCATGCCATTCTCAGTGCTGTGGTCTTATTATCACACTTCCTTGGTCAACAAATATGTATTTGGACCATATCTCATTTTACTTTAACCACATATGGAATTGATTAGTTTTGCTAAAATCACTACTTTAAATATGTCTTTACACAGATTAAAAAAAAAAATAGAGACCCACTACACAGAGGATAAAGTATGAATTCCTTAGCCTGACTGAAAAATCTCTGCCTTCTGTAGCAAGTTATAGCCCATTACTTCCAATTAAGAACCTTCTGTTTGACTATATGCTGCCAGAAGGTATGGACTGTGCCTCATTCAACCCTTCAGCATCCGAGAATCTAACAAAGTGCAGGGTATGTACTAAACACTTAAATATTCATTATGTAAATAAATGACTAAGGTGTCAACAGTCTCCTGCTGCATTAAAAAAAAAAAAAAAAAAAAAAAAAAGTACCCAAGGGGGTAGGGGGAGAAAAGCAAAAAAAAAAAAAAGCAGATGAAGAGCAGCTAGACTCACCTGTCTAGACCTTGGTATCTTGCCTTATAGATCTGCCACTAGATCATTTAAAAACATATACAATTATAGAACAAATGAAAAAGCAGTCCCTAAAAATTGAAAACAGAAGGAAAGAAAGAATCTGTCATCTAGTTGGTGGCATAACCACATTAAGAAAAAGTACCTCAGGTGGTCTTAGAACACAGTATTTTGACTGAGCATCTGTAATGAGCTATATCCCACAAACAAAAAGGATAGTGAAAAGTGTTTGACTGAAAACCATACTCAGTAATCATATTGCTGCTGGTAGTGCTGTCTATATTATGGGTTAAAGTAAACGAGTAGTTATGCTGGTACTGGAAAATTATTTAGGAACTAAGGTTTTTGGTTTGAGGGGGAAAAAAGAGGTAAAAGATGGATTTTAAGTTAAAAGTCTTATAATCATGTAATCAAAATGGAATTATTGATATGAGTTCTTGATGAATTTTATCTTTTAAAAAAAGTTATAATAAACATCCCTAGAGCCCAGATGAAGGGCTCTAAACATGTATTCCCACCAAAAGGATCCAGGGTTCCTTGGAGCAATGTTCAGTTCCAAGTCTAAGCAGCAAATGATGGCCTGGAAGATGCCAGAGTAGAAAGAAAGAAAACTATCAAAGACTGTTAAGATCATGTCAAAGGCATTCAGGAGATAACATGGAGGCTCCCCCTTGGTAAAAATGGGATAATTTGAGCATCACTGGGAATACAAATTGAAGAGGGTCCAGACCTTTCAAATCACAGAGGTATTTAAGAGCATCAACATCTAATTGGTCACTTTTGGGGGATATTAGAGAACGAATCTATTTTTGAAAACTAAGTACAGAGAAAGAAGCAAGCACTTATATACTTTTTCCTATATGGAGTGTACTTCAGTGTAACCCAGTAATTGATGAGGAGACGTTTATCTTTGAATTTGAGTATCACTTTGCAACCCTTAGTGAACAGATCATGATCATCGGTGACTGCTGACATTTCAGAAAGAGAGATAGCCAGGCATTATGAAGTGTTCTTCCCCAAAACATTGACCCTGAATCTGATCAGGCCTCTAGATCTGCTCCGTTAATCCATTATGCTCAGCGGCTGCTAAGCACTTGAAATGTGACAAGCTCGAATTGAGAAGCGCTGTAAACGGAAACTACACACTGAATTTTGAAGGCTCAATGAGGGAAAAAAACCATAAAATATTTACTAACTTCCAATATCAGTTACATTTGAAATATGAAATTAATACATTTCCTTTAATCTGTGCCTTTTAACTTTATTAAAAGTGGTTACTAGAGGGGTGCCTGGCTGGCTCAGTGGGGAAGAGCAGGGGATGCTTGATCTTAGGGTTATGAGTTTGAGTCCCATGTTGGGTGTAGAGATTACTTAAATAGATAAAAGCTTAAAAAGTCATTATTAGAAAATTTAAAATTATTTGCATTATCTTTCTGTTGCATAACATAACTTCTATCAGTTTATGGGAATTACAGGGAACAGAGGAACTTACTAAGTGATACCTCAGCAATGTAATTAGCAATATTCAGAGTTTGGGAAACTATAGGAGAAATGAGCCAATTCCTTCAACAAATAAAAGTGGGTTAAAAAAAAAAAAAAGGCAGAGGGAACTTTTAGAGTTTTGAGAGACCTATCAATCAATGACGTACTAGACTTTATTTGGATCCAGATTCAAACAAATGTAAAAATACTTTAATCAGGGACATCTGAATCCTGACTGAATATTTGAGGATATTTGTTAATTTCTTAGATGGATCATGGTATTGTAATTGTACGTAAAATAGCCCTTATTGGGGCGCCTGGGTGGCTCAGTGGGTTTAAGCCTCTGCCTTTGGCTCAGGTCATGATCTCAGGATCCTGGGATCGAGTCCCGCATCGGGCTCTCTGCTTGGCAGGGAGCCTGCTTCCTCCTCTCTTTCTGCCTGCCTCTCTGCCTACTTGTGATCTCTGTCTGTCAAAGAAATAAATAAAATCTTTAAAAAAATAAAATAAAATGGCCCTTATCTCTGAGTGATAATTACTGATGAAAAAGACGTGATATTTACAAATGAAACAATGTGATGTCTGAAGATTAGCTTCAAAATAATTTGAGGGGTTGGACGTGAAGGTGACAAGTGTAGATGAAACAAAATTGGCTGTGTTTTGAAAATTATTGAATCTGGGAGATAAGCACATGGAAGTACATTCTTCTATTCCCTCTTATACATAGGTTTGAAGTATTATGTAACAATTAAAAAACAAGTTTCCGGTATGGATGGTGGTATAAATATTACGCCATGACAGGATTCAGCAGCCAGCCTCTATAAAGGAGTTGACTGTGATTAGGAAAGATCAACTATGAGCACAAAGTCATTTACTGAGATTTCTTTCTTTCCTCTTGTCTAGACCTGTCCTTTCCTCCTAACCCAGCAATATCTATCTTCCTATGAGTATATACAGTGAAGCCAGCCATTGCTGGACTGGGTTTAATCTTTTAATTTGCTGAAGGGGCAATTTCTAGGATTGAAAAAAGAAGATCCTAAAGCACGAGATACAGGGTCATTGGTACAAGGAACCTTTAAGCATTTGTCAAACTTGCTCTTCATTGAATTGGAGAAAGGGAGAAGTGTGAGGAGGAAAGAGGAGAGACTATGTCCTCTAAGTCACTGGCCGTGGAGGTGGGGAAGGCTGTAACTGCCAGCTGCCCCAAGAAGGCCTCTAGGACCTGCCTGAAGGGAAGCACTCGTCGTATGTCTAATCTGCTGCTCCCATTCTTTCTCACCCTGGAATGTTGGTCCAACTTCCATGAGGTGATGCTCGCTACCTCAAAATTGCCCTTTTGGGTTAAACTAAATTTTGTTGGTGGGGGGTGGGGTGGGGTGGGGAAAGAGGTCGAAGAGATGACTGTTTACGTCATGGAAGTATTTATAGAAACAAAATTCTCTCTCTCTTCCAAATCTGTACCAATCATGTTTGTTTTTAAAAGGCAGACACATCTTATTTTACTCATAAGAGGGAAACTAGCAGAAACTAACAATCCATTATCATCTGTGATATTCCATTGACTAAACCCTCAATTTGAATTTCTTCACTACTTAAATTCATGTCCATTGTTTTACTATTATGCTTGGACCTTTGGGATTAGTCTTTTTGTTATTGTTCCCATTTTTAAATCATTCCTTTACTTTTTCCAAATACACTTAGAGAAATTTTGTTGGGTTTGATGCAGATTTTGGTGGGCTTATTTTTAAATCTAAAAATAACACTGTGACTCCTGATTTAAAAAAAAAAAAAATCGTTTCCCCATCAGGATTAAGGCCTATGTCTCCATTTAAATTTTAAATCTCCCATTGAAATGTAAGAATTATTTTTATACCAATCATGCATATCCCTTGTTAAAAGCATTCCCAAGTGTTTTTATAATTTCATTGTAATGTAAATGTCATTTCATATTTTCCATTTGTATATATAGGATTGTTACAGATTTTTGAATGTTTACGTTGTATCTGTTAATTTTACTCAACTCACAATACACTAGTTTTTAAACAGCTTTGGCTTTTCTAAGTATATAGCATTATCAATTAAAAATACTAGGATTACATCTTACTTTCCAAAAATTAAAGTTCACTCTATGTTAATGTTTCTTATATTGGTCAGAGCATCTAAATAAGGTCAAATAATGGATGATAATAGAGCTTATCCTTATTTTGTTAGTATCTTTAGAGGAATGTTTTCAAGTTTCAGTGGAACCATTTTTCAAATGTATTCTGTACTGAAGTACATATCCTTTTTTTTTTTTTTTTAAAGATTTTATTTACTTATTTGTCAGAGAGATCACAAGTAGGCAGAGAGGCAGGCAGAGAGAGAGGGAGAAGCAGGCTCCCGACTGAGCAGAGAGCCTGATGCAGGGCTCGATTCCAGGAGCCTGAGATCATGACCTGAGCTGAAGGCAGAGGCTTAACCCACTGAGCCACCCAGGCACCCTGAAGTATATATCCTGATGTAACTGAACCTGTTCTTGACAGGGAGTGGGTATTCGGAGTAGTTACTTCATGTTCTTTCTCTCCAAATTAGATCAGCGCAGGTCAGTGGTTTTCACTATTCCTTAGAGCCACAGTAGAGCAGGCAAGGAGGGGCTGAATGGATGGGCCTTTGGCCAAAGCAGGTCCACTTTAACCCTTTCTAAATCTTTGAAAAAAATAGTTTTTATGCTAAAAAAAAATTTAAAGCCTTAAGTGAAAATATAATCTATGTGCTTTTTAAAGTTTCTCCCACCTGAAAATTCTGTGATTAAGTCCTATTTAGGTCATTTTCATGATAACCTCTATGGTAGAGCCCTTAAAATTATTTCCAAAGTTTAAAACAAAATAATAAGAGGGAAAGCAGGATAAAAAAAAATACATATACAAGTATTCAAAATATGTTTTAAAAAAAGTCAGGGAAGAGACTGCATGTCTAACAGCAAGCACCGTATCTGGAATATAAGAGCTCAGTAAATGCCTATTAAAACACTAAAGGGAAATGTACAAAAACATTAATTTCAAGCTGGGTGGGATGATTTGGAAAGTATGCCATTTCATCTTCTTGGCTCTTTCCAGTTTTTTACAGCAAGAATATATTACTTTAGGGGCGCCAGGGTGGCTCAGTGGGTTAAAGCCTCTGCCTTTGGCTCAGGTCATGATCCCAGGGTCCTAGGATCAAGCCCCGCAACGGGCTCTCTGCTTGGCGGGAAGCCTGCCTCTCTGCCTACTTGTGATCTCTGTCTGTCAAATAAAAAAAAAAAAAATTTTTTTTTTAAATTAAAAAGAAGAATATATTACTTTTATAATCGGGGGCTAAAACACCATCTAAACTTCCTTCTAATGACAATGAAACTAGGTTCATTATCTTCCTTCCAGATATGGCAATGATTTCTTAGCTATTCTCCTTAAATCTAATCTCTCCATTCTGCAAATTACATTGCATCTAAATAGGAAATGAATCTTTCTTAAATACCCATATGCTTCTTATATAAGTCCCTATTTTTCATTTGTTCAAACACTTTTAGTACTGTATTATCCCTACATATCAGGTCTCAGCTTCTTCAGTCGGTCTCACAAAACATATCCAACCTTGTTTCCCGTGACTTCACAAGCTAGTTAGCTCAGGGTCCCATGGACACTAAAACGGCCACTCATTCTTCTGGTCGTGGTTCTTCTGTAAGAATGCAATGGAATATCTTGCATCTTCCTATTCAAACACAGCTCCAGCTTAGTTTCCCCTCTCAGACTTGTTAGAACATTCTAGTTTTCGATGATTTTTTTTAATACATACTCCTAAAGTGCTAAGGATTCCCTATAACTTAATGTTCAATTAACTAAGGTCTCTTAAGTTGTGTGTGATAACCTTATGTCATCAGTTAAGCCTGTTAGCTAGTTGATGTAAAGAACTCTGAGTTATTTTGTTAACTCCACTGTCTGCTCAGAACTAGCTCAGTAGTAAGGCCCTTCTGGGCATTCACCAAATACTTGCTCACTAAAAGGAAGCTACTTGAAAAAATCCAAATAGTACCTGTACTTGTTGCAGGTAAATAGCGATCAAGCCATCAAGCCTTCTAATTTAGTTTTTCTGACTTTTCACAGCAAATTCCAGATTATCCTATATATTTCCATTTAAAAATAAATATTGCAAACACCATTGGGCAAGTAAGACATATGGCAACATAGAATGCTTTGGTAGCACTATGGCTGTGACTTAAATTACTGTGGATCAAACTGCCAGAAGCTGAGAAGATAACTGAATTTTCCTCTTCCTTTATCCTCTAGTGACTACATAAGATAACTATATCATGCCTATCGATGAAAATATTTAACAATAAAAAACTGAAAACACTGCTTTATAACTTAAATAATATAGCCTTACTCCCAAATGTTTTAGTCATAGGATCTCTTGGAAGCTTGAATGGAAGCAAACTTTAGGGTTTTAATTATGGATGAAGCCATACAATTCTGGAAGCAAAGTATAGCAAGCAGCCAAAAATGTTACACATATGATTTTACTCCAAATGGGCACATTGGCCAAATGGTGGGGCCCTGCGCAATCACATACTTTGACCACCTCCTCCATCACTATCAAGAGAGATCTGGGAAATCTGTTATTTTAGATATGAATTCTACGTGCTGACTGTGGCCCTAGTAGGGCAAAATCAAATTTTTCTTATTTTGATGATGTTGAATAGTTTTGAGTTGGATCTAAAAACCTTATAGGTAGTTCATGGGGTTTTAGGATCTCCCTATAAGTAAAAGAAGATGGAAGATGGAAAGCTACATCTTGTATTTATTACTTCTTGCACAAAGGTGACCTCTAAATTTCTTCTATGGTCATTGGTTCCTCTGGTTGATTAAAAACACTTAGGTTAAACAAACTTCCTTTTTTTTTCCATTTAAAAAGGAATCCATTTGCAACGTATCCAACTAACATGGGTTTAAAAACTAGATAGTACTTCATTAATTATATTTATTACTCAAAACAAAGTATATACATCAAATTATGAAATTCACTTAAAATCTTTTTTTTTGCAAAGGTGGGGAAAAAGTCTCTATACTCAAGTCATGGAAACTTACCATTAAAAGACTGAGGTTCCTTTTAAAAGCAGTCTCAGCTGCTTGCATCTGAGATGCCTTTCCCTTGTTTTCATCTATAAATTTATTCTCCATTTGTTGAAGTAACATTAATCTTTGTGATACTCTAGAAAAAAATAAAGATTATATAAAGTTTTTTTTTAAAGGGTACATTTTTTGCTTGACAAACATAAAAAATTTATTTAATTATACCTCACTTCAAGTTCAACCTATTTTGAAAACCAATTACTATGTCAATTAATAAGGCACTGGAACTTAAGATAGTCCAGTCAGTCTTAAATCTGGGTAAAATCATTCTTATTTTCATCAACATATCTGTTGTAACTACATGCTTCTGTTTTTTTAGCCTCTATGGTCTTTGCAATTATTTTAGAGTGTTAAAAACATGTTTTAATTTTTGGTGAAAATGCAAACTGTAATACATATCCCTTTGTACACATACTTATATATACCTCCCCACACACATACATTGATATAACTTGCTATACGAAACCTTCTGCTTAACACTTCAATACCCCTGAATCTCATGTTACACATTTAGAATTGCGCTAAACTTCCATATGTTTGAAGAAGCAATAAAAATATTTTTTTCCTCTTTTTCCAAGAGAAAGATGATGGTTCCATATATGAATGAGAGGCTGTGTGTATGTATGCATACTCACAACAAGGTGAAACAGTAATTGAAGGAAGATGTAGAAAGTTGTAAGTAAATTTTCAAGCTACTTTGTTACATATATTTTAAAAATTTCTCATTGGTCAAATGCTCATTTTACAAGTTTTTTGGTCCTCTTAAATGATTGATTAAAAAAATGTCAGACGATAAAAAATACATGTGGTATATATATATATATATATATATATATAGCAGTCTAACTACTCTCCAGATAGTTGTGGAGGTTATTAAGAAATGCTGTGTTTCAGAGGGCTGTTCTTGAGGGTAGCATTGAAATTGAGTTATTTCAACATTTTGATAAGGGAAAGATCTTAGAAAGCCAAGGAAGAGGGCCTGATAATTAATTAAAGGAAAACATGAGAGCCCACAGAAAGAGGCAGAGAAGGTTATTATCAAGTATAAGTGCAGGACTGCTTATATAATTTGCAAGGCCTAATGCAAACTGAATATGTGGGGCTCCTTTAAAAAACTATTAGGAATTTCAAGACAGCAACAGTAGAGCATTAAACCAAGTACAGGAACTGTGAGTACACAGGTCACATACTCATGAAGCCTGCCCTGGGTAAGAGGTGTACAGAGTCCATTATATATATCAGTGAGGAAACTAGAAAGGTGAGAAGTGTGAATTTAACCAGATAATAGTAAGAATTGTAAGAAAAGAACGTGATTATACCTTGTAATCTTTGTTATTCTTAAGAGACAGTGACATTCCTTAACACCAAAATCTCTCAAGTGTCAGAAAATTTAAATGACACCTTCAGACTTCTTAAGTCTTCTGCACACAATATTTCCACTAACAAAGCCAGTATAATTTATTAATTTAGATAAGCCTTTTAAAAAACTTACATTTCTTCATGTCTCTTAGAAAGGCGAATTTCTTGAGCAAACAAGGAGGTCATGTTTAATCAAAGCTGCCTTATAAGCTTTCTGCTAAATAATAAAAATATTTAAAGTTACTTTAATGTCCTCAGCTTCATAGCAGTTGATTGTTTTATTACCTCAACCCATTGGTTCTCTCAGAAGAGAAAAATAAAAATTGAGATATAATGATGTACAAAATGAAAGAATGCATTTAAAACCATTTTTATTTACGATGCACAGTTTTTTATATGCCAGACGCATCCAAAATCACCATGAATCAGGTAAACTCAACAGATTTTGCATTTCCTCCTCTTACTTCCTCACACTTTAACCTTAATCTGAATTGAAAACAAACAAGCAGCTGGTACTAAGACTAGTAAACATTTTATTGAATCAACAGAAAGAAAAAAAATCCACTCTGTAAAATTCAACACAGGAATACCATCCCTTATGCATGTGCACACACACATAGAAAGGCAAACAAGTTATAAGAACCAACTGGAAACTCATGGTCTTTCCTTTATTGGAAGACTGCCCAGTTCTACCATCTCTTTTCCAAATAAGAAAGTATTTTCATGTATAACTGCGGGGAAAAGCCCAACTGGTCTCTTCACCTTACCCTGGGCGCTCAGGACTCCCATTTGGGGAGTTTAGGAAAGCCCATTTTAATGGCACATGAGCAAGCTCACCTTGACTGAAGGGCCTGGACCAATACAGATAAAAGATCAAGTGAAGTGCTTTGAAGGCTCAGAGCCCGAAGGCAAATCATCTGGTTGCGTGCAAAAGCTGAAGGTGACTGTCCTAAGGGAGAAAAAACAGGAATGAAATTTTTTTCCTGGAGCGAATCACTGGGTTTGCTAAATTTTATGATTTACACACTGTCGCTAATCTCTGAGTGTCCAGCGTTGATAGACTGAGCTGCTCCTTCAGTGCACATACATGGAAGCATATAGCACTGATCCCAGCCAAGAGCAGGGAAACACTGCCTGCCCTCAACGGGGTTCTTTCTAAAGAAACCAATGTCTCGCGTTCAGCACCGCGGACAGCACTCGCCCGCCAGCGTGCCACAAGGATCTAGTTACAGACACGTATCCTCTAAGATCACTACGGACCAATCGTCGCCGCCTTCCTCCCCCTTTAGAATGCAGCGTCAAGAAAATCTCGGAAAGTTAGTCCACGGTAACTCCTTTTCCGTAACGCCCGCCATCAGCACTCCAGACAAACCCTAAGATAAATTCTGCCTTTCGAACCGAAGATCCGCGGGCTCTGAGTTCTTAACCCTGCAACCACTCCAACTTCCTGCTTATACTCAGAGGACTCACGACCTTTCCTCCTCATCCCGGCTCTTCCCCCTTTAACGACATGCTCCCCACCGGCCCTGCGAGCACCTGTGCTGTTCTCAGACAGTCAAGGCACCCACTGGCCGCCCGTAACGCTGTGGGACTTCACTCACCTAGTCCCACTCGGACCTTTTCCATAAAGGCGTCCGCTACCGTGCGGACGCTGGGTCTCAGCACAGGCCTGGGCGTGGTCACGCCACTGTCTTTGCGCACGCGCGACGAGGTGACGTGATCACGTTGCTATAAAAGGCGGGCCTCTGGCGCGAAAGGTGACGGTGCTGCGCTCAGGGGAGAGATTACCGAAGCGGTCCTTCCTGAGCCTTACGAAAACGTTTGATGGTAGCTCAGTTTCTAGGTCTCTTAAGATGAAACCTGAATATGTTTTAGAGAGGGAAGCTAGAATGTCACAGAATATGGAAATGGGGAAAAATCCTTCAAAATACTCCAGCGTGTTTGAATGGTCTGCAGAATCAGTAAAAAAAGGTCTTTGCTTCAGAGAGCTTCCCCCTGTTCGTCAGGTGTAAAGCAGAGGAGTGGAGCCCCTGTCTGCACGAGGGACAGTAATACTGATCATGGATGTTTTGAGGGGTTTGCGTGCGGGTTGCCGTGTTTAGGTGAATTTTCTTAGCTCTTACCTACAACGCCTGGTGATGTAGGTACCATCGTCCTCATTTGTCCTCATCGTCAAATGAGGTTGGCTGTTTATTTAGGTTGGAGCTTGCAGTCAGTAGAGCCTTGAGGAAATTTCCCACAGCCCTCAGGTTACACACTTGGGAATAATCTCTTAATGCTGTCAAGTGCATTCTTAAGCCTTTTTTCCCTTTGAAATAACTTGGTGAGACACGAAGCACTATCCCAAATTTCAGAGGTAGAAACTGAGATTCAGGAGAGGTCAAGTTGCTTTCTTAACCTGAGTTGGTAAAGGGCAAAGTGCTAGGACTCCAATCCAGCTGTCTTTTATTTCTTAACTCCCAGAATATCTACATGAAACTCCTCTCCTGCTTAGGGACTACAGGCATTTCATGGTTCCATTGCTTGGAAAAGCCCAGAAACCCACATAGACTTAGTGCCTCATCTTTCAAGGCTACTTCCTTGAAGAATCAGCGTTCCCTGGACCTTCAGTATAAGATAGCAACTCCATTTTTTATCTCTGTCCTCCTTCTTGTTTTTTCTCCAGAACACAGTGTTCCCCACATTTTACAATCACTTGTTTATGTGTTTATCAGTGCACTCCTACTAGAATTTGGACATCCTAAGAACAAGTATTTTTGATTACCTGCTGCTGTATCCTCAGGAACTAAAATGGTCTTGAAATAATCCCCGATGGAAATACCATAATTTGAGAGTTTCTGTCTTCAGCTGATAGAACGTTTGATTTAGCTGTTTCACAGCCTTACTTAGTAAAGATGAAAAACAGACCTTTGAATAGCCTTGTGTTCTAGGAACGAAATGGAACTTTTGCATGGTTACAAAGCATTCTTACCTCTTATGTAAATTTACAAAAAAGGATTTTTGTTAAATTGGTAATGGGTTGCCTGAAATAGAGAACAAAGAAGCTGCACATTAGTATGTGTATGTGTATATTATTTAAAACAAACTTTGTTTCCCTCCCTGCTTTATTTGAATAGTGACACTTTTGGGACAAGCCAACCCTTTAAGCTTTGAATCTGTCTTCTTTTCGTCATTGTCTGCCCTAGGAGTGAATGAAGGAATACCTTGGAATTTTCTTGCAATTTTTAGGAGAATGGTAATCGGGAATACCTCACAGACACTTAGAGGTTGTCTAGACAGACTGTGATAATATATCTTATAGCATCCCCAAAAGTACTTTCTACTTAAAAATCTGCCGTCATAGCTCCCGTCTTCATGACAGCCCCCATCTGATCCTTGAGACACTTGACTGGAGAAGAAGCGTCTCTGGCAATTGCACAGTCTGTCAATATATGGCTTCTCTATTTATTAGGTAATTGGGTACTTCCTGGAGTGAGATATTCGTGGTCTACCATGCAGATTATTAGAACCTACTGAGTAATGCCTGGCTCATAATGGGGGATTCTGTAAGTGTGCAGTGAAGTTAATATTTCCTAACCCTGGCATAGTTCTGTCCACCAGCATGCTAAAATTGTCCCCTAAGCCTCATTATTTACAAAGCCTTGTGCTCTTTTGTCATAAATTCTTTAAAGATATGTTTATTAAATATTTCTAAGGTGTAGCCCCTACCCTCAGGAGCCTAGAAGGCTCTTAAGGTATATACAAAAAGCTAGAGGAGGGCCTGGGTGGCTCAGTGGGTTAAGCCTCTGCTTTTGGCTCAGGTCACAATCTCAGGGTCCTGGGATCGAGCCCCACATCGGGCTCTCTGCTCAGTGGGGAGCCTGCTTCCCCCTCTCTCTCTGCTGCCTCTCTGCCTACTTGTGATCTCTCTCTGTATTGAATAAATAAATAAAATTTTAAAAAAGAATTAAAAAAAAAAGCTAGAGGATTTTGGCTGACAACATAAAAATGACTAATATTCGTGAAGTGCTCATTCCGTGTTAGGTGCTGTATTTGATTTACCTCAGCTAATCCTAACAACCCTGTGAGTAAGACAACATTGCTTGCTAGTTTATGTACTGTCCCCATTTTTATAGCTAAGAAAACAGGCTTAGAGACATGATTTAGGATCACACTGTAAGTAAATGAGCCTTGGCTTGTTTGATGTTAGTATTTTATGTAATTATATAGAGTATATTAAGAACTTGTGGCTAAAAAGTGTCCTGCAGATTATGAGGGTGCTAGAGAAGAAAGGAGAGGGCACCAAGAGCTGAAATAGTCTAGGTGACATTTGGAAGGCTGAGGTGAATTTGGAAAACTGGGTGGAGTTTGGAGGTCAACTTTTCTAATTGGGTGTATCAGGTGGCAAGACAGACTGCGAAGTCTTCTAGGAGGTATGTGTCTGTGCAGAAGTGTGTGCATAAAGGTATGTTTGGGGTGAGGGCCAGTGGAGAGGAAGCATTGAGAAGAATGTTTTCTCCTTATTTCCCCCAATTTTGAAGATTTCATTTCTAGTGTCAGAGACTCAGAAAACAAAAGTTTGGCAGTAATAATGTGAAGGAAGTATTGGAGAAGGTGAGACTGGTAGGTAAAGAATAGAAAGGCTTGAGGGTGAAAAAGGAAGGACAAGCTTTAAAGAGTAAGAAACAAAAGAATCCCAGGATCTTTGACAATATCAAAGACTTCAGACTACTAACAGTAAACTCTGTTATGGGTTATACAGAGGCCTTCTTTTTAGACTTCATTTAGGTATGTTCTGGGTAGACAAATAATAAGAAAATGAAGAACTCATGGCTGAAATGGAGTTGGTTATTTTTTTCCTCCTTGTTTCAGGATATCCCAGATGAAATGTGGCAAAGTGGGTGCAATTGCGTGTATTTCTGCTTTTCTTCACTTTGAAATAGTCTTTAGACTTTTATCTTTTTCTATAGTTATAGATTGTCCATATCACTATGGAAAAATATTCTCTACTCATAATATCTCTAAAATGCTTTAAATTGGCCCTGGATGGGTTTTGACCAAAGAGAATTTACAACCAGATACTTCTTTAGGATCTTTTGCCAATGAATCAGCTATCAGTCTAGGTCCAATCAGATAAAACTCAGCAATAGAGAAATCATTATCACAGCTGGTGCCTGCATTATAGACATTCTTAGCTGAGAAAACAAGACTGCTGATAAAACTATGCTTATTCCTTGAGATTTCCAGTAAGAATTTGCATAAGCTTTTTCTTTCTTGGGAGAGCAAATTAAAAACCTCACTAGTTCTAAAATTCACTTGAGAACGCATTAGAACTTTAAAAATTGAAAGCAAAAATGATAATTCTTAGCAAATCATTTGTACGTTGTATACATAGTAAATATATATATTTCCTCCTTTCTAAATTTCAGTAATTTAAAGCTCACACAATCCTTTTGTCTTAAACTGATACCCTTCTAGCTGTGTATAATGTAAAAGGCTTTCTTTCTTTCTTTTTTTCTTTCTTTTTTTCTTTCTTTCTTTCTTTCTTTCTTTCTTTCTTTCTTTCTTTCTTTCTTTCTTTCTTTCTTTCCTTCCTTCTTTTTTTTTTAATCCTGGTTCCTGGATTTCCCACCAGCTCTCAATTTACAAATTAGTCTCTCTCTAACTCTTTAGCTCAGGCTTTTCTTAAAGTAAGGATTTTCTGTTTCATAGACCTGCTGCCTGTTTATTTTCTCCATGTTATCACCCCTTTTTGCTCCTAGGATCCTGTAACAACTTTATCAGTCGACTACTGAGTAAGTAATTAAGAACTTTTTTTTAAAAAAAGATTTTATTATTTCTTTGACAGAGAGAGATCACAAGTAGGCAGAGAGACAGATAGGGGTGGGAGGGTGGGTGGGGAAAGCATGCTCCCTGCTGAGCAGACAGCCGGATGCGGGGCTCGATCCCAGGACTCTGAGATCATGACCTGAGCCGAAGGCAGAGGCTTGACCCACTGAGCCACCCAGGCGCCCCAATTAATAACTTCTTAATGCATACTTGACTACTTAGAACATTGTATTCTGCAATTCCCATCTTTTTGTGATACTCTGCAATTGCGTTTACTAAAAAAATTGGAGGCTCTTTGTGCCAGCCTGTTTTTCCATCATTACTGTTTGCTGTATGCATCCACTTGAAAACCTGTCTTTTGAAAGAACAAGGGTTGGAGATTTTCCACATTGCAACTTCTTTGCTTCAAGATCTAATGATACGTGAAGATATTGTTATAAAAGGCCATTCTGGATTAATGCATTTGGGACAGATAATTTTTTAAAAATTGCCCATATCCATCATTTATATGAAAACAGCATGAAACAATATTTTATCTAGTTTTTTGAACATTTCATATGAATACCTTTCTTCTTTTCTAGACATCAGATCTTACTTTGAAACCTTTTTCTTTTTCTCTTAAGTATCCCTTTGGTATGGCTTTTCAGACTTTATTAAATTGAAAGCTGAGTTGATTATATTGATGGTTTGTTCTTACAAACCTCAAATTCAAATATGGACGTTACTTTTAACTTAAGAATATTGAAAACCTTAGTTAAATATACACTTGGGATTTAGCTGATTTTTATAATCATATTTTCCAGAGGTTAACAACATGAAAAAATTCCTGAATATCCTTATATATGGGTCTGCTTTCCTTGGGCTCTGAAAAAAATACAAGTAGGAAGGC